ATTTATAGCATGGTTTACTGAATATTTTAAGCTCACTCTTGAGACCTAGTGCTGAGAAAAACAAGATTCTTTTAGGAATATTATTACTCAATACCAATTCATCTGCACCCAAGAGCTCTGATGGAAATGCACAAGGAGATTAATGTTATTTTCATGCCTGCTAACACAGATCCATTCTGCAGCCCATGGGTCAAGGAGTCATTCTGACCTTCAAGTCTTACTCTTTAAGAAATACATTTTAGGAAGCTATCACTGCCATAGATAGTGATGGATCTAAGCTAAGGAAATGGAAAATCTTCTGGATAGAATTCACCATTCTAGATGCCAGTAAGAACATTTGTGATTCACAAGAGGAAGTAAAAATACCAGCATGAACGGGAATTTGGAAGAAGTTGGTAACAACCCTTATGGATGAACTGGAGGGGTTCAAGACTTCCGTGGAGGAAGTTAACTGCGGATGTGGGAGAAACAGCGAGAGAAGTAGAGTCAGAGGCAGAATCTGAAGATGTGCTGCAATTCGTGATTGAACATTGAACACATAAATGAGTTCATTCTTTTGGATGAGCCAAGAAATTGGCTTCTTAAAGTTGAATCGACTCAGTGAAGATGCTGTGAACACCGCAGAAATGGCAACAAAGGACTTAGATGTTCCACAAACTTAGTTGATAAGGAAGTGGCAGGGTTTGGAGAGGATTGACTCTGACTTTGAATAAGGTTCTACCAGGGATAAGAGACTATCAAACAGTCTCACAGAATACAGAAATATTCCGTGGAAGGCCGAGTCAGTCTATGCCACAAACGCCATTATTCCCTTATTTTAAGAAATTGCCACAGACACCTCAACTCCAGCAGTCACGACCCTGACCAGTCAGTCAGTGGCCATCGACATGGAAGCAGGACCCTCTGCCAGCAAAAAGTTTATGACTCACTGAAGGCTCAGACGATCATTAGTACTTTTTAGCAATAAAGTATTTTTTACTAAAGCATGTACATTTTAGACAATGCCACTGCACACTTACTAGACTACAGTATAGTGTAAATTAATTTTTATAGACACTGGGAATGTAAGAAATCTGGGTGACTCCCTACATTTTAATAGTCACTTCATTGCTGTGGTCTGTCACTGAAACCACAGTATTTTTGAGGTGTATTTGTGTATGTTTCATCATTGATTTTTCTGCACAGCAAGAGAAGAATTAATATAAACTATTAGTCTTTGGGGTTTCTTTTTAATGGATCTGACATTCTTGAACATGAATATTATGAAAAATGTTTCTAAAATTATTTTTTAATTATTAGTAATATAATTTTTGATTGACAAATCATAACTGGGGTACAATGTGATGTTTTGATATATGTATGCAAGGTAGCATGATTAATCAGAGCTAATTAACAAACCTATCACCTTACTCACTTACCATTTTTTATGGTGAGACATTTGAAACTTGAAAAAATGTTTTTAACTTAAAAACAAATGAGTAATTTATTTTAATTCTTTGAATGAGTAAAATATGATTTAAAAGCTGTGAAATTTGTCCACAATAATACTGAAGAAGAGAGGAAAATTATTTAGAAGTGAACAACGAAGGCAGAGACAGAGGAAGAATTTGGATTCCAGTAATCTGATAAGAGTGTTCAGCCGATGGCTATACCAATAATGCTGAGTTACATATCAAAGTTTGTGTTTTCAGACTATGTATTCAAATACTTCGTATCAGTTATATAGAAACTTCATTTATGAAGAGATACTTTCACGGTAAGTAACATTTATCATATTTAAAAACTCTTCTTTGCCATCTTATGAGACAAAGGCCGTTATCATCTCCATTTATAAGAGGAAGCTGAGATACAGTGACTAATCTGTGCCCTGTCCTAAGGCCAGTGTCTTGAAGAGCATTCTCTTAACTACTATACACATTCTGCCTCCGGCCTATGAGGTAGATGGGAGGGAGAAATAAAAAAACAGCAGAAAGTGGGAGGCGCCTGTGGCTCAAAGGAATAGGGTGCCAGCCCCATATACCAGAGGGCATTTTGGGAAATGCCTAAACCCAGCCCTGGCCAAAAACTACAATAAAAAAAAAAAGAAAACTCAGTAGAAAGTAATAAGAAAACTAGGCAAACAAGGACAGAGAAAGAAAAAGGGCAGAAGAGACTGGAGCCGACCTTCCGACCACGTAGACAAAGACAAGTCTATGAAATGCCCACAGCACTGAGTCCTCCTTCCCCTGGCCACTGACCAGTGTTCACTCCCAGTCTCTCTAGTGCTCAAGGTCCAAGAGCAGCATTTTAGCGACACACCCCTACCTTCCCCCAAATGCAGCTCTATCATAGTTTAGAATTATTTAAGAAACTATGATTCTACCCTCCACAAAACCCATCTGTGTCTACCTCTCAGGCCCGTCAGCTCTGCTTTATGTTCATCAGCAGAAACAGATCTACGCCGAGAGTTGACTTGTTGTGAGGGAAATATTTGAGCTCTCCGGCATTAACATTTAGATCTGAACAACAATGCTCTAATTAAAGCCATTTTAGAATTCATGCTTAGAAGATGCTCTTGGCAGGCAGGAGGAAGACAGAGCTTGGGGCACTTTTAAGACCTGACGTGTGAATTAAGTGGCAATTTTACAGACGACAAAATATTTTCATTGCATTTGACCCGCCTACAGTCTGATAAGGGTAATATAGTCCTATTTTACAGGTAAAGAAACTAACTTTTGGTTGCACAGGCAAAGACTTGAATCTAGGAGCCGTGACTACACATACAGCCCCCTCCTTCATCACTAGGCATGGGGTAATTCTGAAAGTCCAAGATTCAGTCTGTTGAAATCAAACACCAAGTTGCTGTTGCTAAGGAGAGAAAGTTGACCAGTAACATAGTGTAAGGTAACCTACCGCTATGACGTGGTGGCGATAAATTTATCTGCTTTTTTAATGAAAACCAAACCTAAAAGTTATTTTCAGAATCAGATAAAGTGTTCCTTTTTTTCAGTTATTTCCTCTCCTGTCTGCTGACAAACACCAAAGTTAGTGATGCCCGTCTCGAACTCAGGGGGTTGAACCTCTGTTTATAGACTGGCAGCAGTGACACCGTGTCAGGAAATAAGAGGACTCATTTACATTGACAACTCCAGTGGAAAAATATTGCACAGCAACCCATAGTAGTATTCTTTTTGTCTTCTACCATTTTGGAGTATATGTTGGATCACAAAAATTCTATTTTCAAAACTGTGGTGGGGCGGTGCCTGTGGCTCAGTGGGCAGGGCGCTGGCCCCATAGAGGGTGGTGGGTTCAAACCCAGCCCCAGCCAAACTGCAACAAAAAAATAACTGGGTGTTGTGGTGAGTACCTGTAGTCCCAGCTACAGAGAAATGCCTAAGCCCAGGAGTTGGAGGTTGCTGTGAGCTGTGATGCCACAGCATTCCACCAAGTGATAAAGTGAAATACTGTCTCAAAAAAAACTTCATGCATAAAACAAACAAACAAATAAACAAACAAACAAACAAAAAACTGTAGTGGGAATTCTCCCCATTATGTGTCTTTTTTTTTTTGAGACAGAGTCTCACTCAGTCACCCTGGGGTTGAGTGCCAAGGTGTCTAAGCTCACAGCAACCTCAAACTCTTGGGCTCAAGCGATTCTCTTGTCTCAGCCTCCCGAGTAGTTGGGACTATAGGTGCCTACCACAGTACCTGGCTATTATTAGAGACAAGGTCTCAATCTGGCTATTTTTGAACCCATGAGCTCAGGTAATCCACCTACCTCAGCCTCCCACCAGAGTGCTGGGATTACAGGTGTGAGCCACCACTCCTGGCCTACTTTTTTTTTTTTTTTAATTAGAATTGGTTGATAGAGACCTAAATCAGCGTCTAGGACAACGAATTTTATTATTTCCTAAGATTTACTATTCTAATACCTGCCAACCATCTTGGGAAAATATGTTAATAATATTTATTGGATCCATAATGAAGGTAGCAGCATAAATGCAGAATCACTGCAGTGAATTCTCTATATCCCTGTTCCCAAAGTGTTCCCAAGACCAAGAGCATTAGCAGCACAGGAAGAACTTGTTAAAAATGTAAAGTGTTCTACCCCAGACCTATTGAATCACAAATATAGTACGCTCTCTTATAATTAGTTTTCTGTTTGAACTTGTTGTCAGGTGAAGCTTGAGAACAACTTCTGTAAAAGATGATGTGAAAGAGTATACCTTATCCAAAATGCTTGGGACCAGAAGGATTTCAGATTTTTAAAGATTGTGTAATACTTGCATCCATATAATGAGGGTTTGCAGGGATGGAACCCAAGTCCAATTATGAAATTCATTTATATTTTGTATATACTTTGTATACATAGCATGGAGGTAATTTTATACCATATTTTTAATAATTTTGTGTACAATCACCCTGAGAGAAAGAGCTGAAAAAAATTTTGTGTATGAAACAAAATTTTGACCATGTTTGACTATGACCTGTCAGAGTGTGGAATTTTCCATTTGTGGTGCTATGTTGGCACTCAAACTATTTTAGATTTTGGAGCACCTTGGATTTAGATTGGAACGCTACGTCTGTATTTCTAACTCAAACATTCTGGTTGCAATAGACTGAATGTCCCTTTACCTCCAAATATATATATTGAAATCCTAACTTCCAGTGTGATGGTATTAAGAGGTGGAGAGTTTGGCGAGGGGGAATCCTCAAAGATTTGGTTAGTGCCCTTACAAAAGAGACCCGAGGAACCCTCTCACTCCCTTCACCATGCAAGTAGAAAAATATTTCATAGCATCCCATAGCAGTATTCACCCAAAGTGAAGACAGCCATTTACAGACTAGAAGGCAGTCCCTCTTCAGACACTGAACGTGCTACTACCTCGGTCCGGGACGTCCCAGCCTCCAGAACTGTGAGAAACAAACTTTTGTTGTTTAAACCCTGTCTATGACAGCAGACCCAATACACTAAGACAACTAGTACATTACACAATTAGCTTACAAATATAATTCCTTACCACACGCCCACATATCCACTGGCTTTCCATAAGGATCCTTACGTAAAACTTCTGGAGAAAGATATCCCGGTGTGCCAGCAAAACCTAGGAGAAACAAATGTGAATAGTCAGAACTGAGTCGACAAAATCAATATGAAATGGGAAACTCACAGAAAAGGCCTTTGGGAGGTTTCCCTAACTGGTGATATGTTGTATTTGTCAAAATAAACAAGGCTCTCAGAGTTCTAAAATAATATAGACTAGATTTTCTTTACAGCAGTATCAACATTAGTCTGCCATGCCCGGTAAAGATGAGAAAACAGTTGGTTCTTCCAGAGATGAAGGTTAATCTACTGGGCGCCACAGTAGCTGTGTGTACGTAGGCCTCTTCTAATTAGCAGTTCTTACTATCAGGAAGGACGTACGAGTTAAAACTAAAACTGATAAGGAGAAAAACTCACCAGAAGAAAGAATTGCAAAATATGTCCAAGAGCTCGTGGTGTACCAACAAATAATCAGTGAGTCCTTCTAACTGGCAACTAAAGAGAGGACTCGGGAATATTCAGATGAGTCCCTGTTGAAAACTATCAACTAGACCAGGGGTCCTCAAACTTTTTAAACAGGGGGCCAGTTCACTGTCCCTCAGACCACGGGAGGGCCGGACTGCGGGCCCCAGGAAGAGTCAGCTGCTAAGCAGGACAGGCAGTGACGGCAAAAACACCCGGCAGGCCGGATAAATGTCCTAGGCTGGCCGCATGTGGCCCACGGGCCGTAGTTTGAGGACACCTGAACTAGACATTCAACTTAGGGAAGGAGGGTCAGGAAAAACAAGGTAGTAAAACAAAGTTTCGTGTTTTCTAAATCAGCAAGGAATTCCGTAAGTTGCACTTCATTAAGAATCAATTTATAGTTAGATTCTTATTTCTGAAAATAATAATGTTTTCCATAAAAATAATTACTTAGAAATGCTAAAAATAATTACATCTCATTTGGAAGTTTTCTTTACAAACACCAACAGAAAACATGTCTTCAAAAGGATATGTAATCAGGAATTCTTCCAACCACAAATCACAGAAAAAATCCATTGCGTATTTACTGGCATGCAAAGGGCTCAAGAGAACCTTTCCCCCCTTGTTGCTCCAACAAATTTATACTTATTAGGTACAAATAATAAGCAAAGAGGTATAAATAAAAGAACATATATCATAGCATAGTTAATTCTTTAAACATAATTACGTTAGCTAAGAATCTGGGGCTCAGTCTTTTTTGTTTTTAATTTTATTACCTTTCTTGACTTGGTTTTGCAGAAAGGTGGGGGTGGATAACGGACTCCAGAAAAGACCTGTATGCTGCAGCTTAAGCTTTAAACAGACCATAGCTAAATGACTTTTACCTAAATTTTTCTTTGAAAGAAATGTTTGATCGGTAGTTTTAAAAGAATTACTAAGTAATAGTTCTGGCTCCACTTCCTAAAATTTGAAAATTACTTGTAGGAGTTATGTGGAGCCTGTTCCTTCCAAGGTAGGGATGTACCTGCTAGTTTTGAAAGCTTCCCCAGGCTGGTGGGATGCCAGACCTGCCCTCCCCGTTCCCACTCACTCTCTCCAACTCCTCTCCAGTTGAGATCCAGGCGGGGAGACTCCAGTGAGAAACTGATGCCAAAGTCTAGATGAAACCCACGAGCCCAAGCACGACTTTCGCATCCTTTATCATCTGCTTCTCCTTCATTCCTCCGATACGATTGTGTTCTTTCCAGCACTTCTTGATCTGACTATAATCTTTAGAGCTTCTTGAAAATGGACTTCTCAATCTCACCCTGATGCTAATTTTTCTGTTTTTGGATGCATATTTTTTTTTCCTTCTGCTTTCTCTCTGAGAGAGGAGGCTCTAAATCATTTTCATCTTAGAGCTCTCCTTAGCTACCTACAGTCTCAGTGACCTTTCCTCACTCTGAATGCCGACCACTCTTTCATATACAATCTGTACTCTCCTACCTAAAAGTGGTAAACTTTAATGTATGACTGAAATAACTGATACTACATGGCCATGATCAGGAAATGTAATGGTACTTCCCCTAGGGAAGGAGAAGTAAGTCCCTATGTAAGTAAGAAAGATTATTTTAAACAGAAGTTATTATAAATCTTTTCTGGAGACTAAACTCCTGAAAGAATACTATTATAATCATTCTTATTTAATTACAACCATCAGTTGAGCAGTCAGTGGAATCCTTACTCCAAGAAAATGGAAGCTTGCATCTACACCCGTGGACATCAGTAACGTAATGTACACTGTGACCTCATCAATACAGAAATACTGGGGGTACAATGAATAAAGCCTTCTTCAGTGGGAGATCACACTTTTAAGAGTCTAGGATTATCATGATATACGAAACCAACAGAGAGACCAGGGAGAGCTTGCCTTCTTTAGGGATGGGATATGTTCCCTACTCTGAAAACCCAATAGGAATATCAAAACAGATAAACGGAAAGCAGAATTACTTACTGTTGGGAATGTATCCATCGCAACACATTGACATTAAAAGAAACTTAATATTTTTTAAAAGCGACATAACAGCAACTAAGTAAGGTAGTTCTTCCATGGAGCAAGACCTTGGTAGTTATCCTTTTAATCCAGTAGCAACAAAATTCCAGAAACGTATTGCAAAAAACATATCCAGTCCCACAAGAGAAACAGGCAGAGTGCAGTTTCTTTGGCAAATTTTCTAGCCATCTTATCAGGAATAGTGACATGAGGTGCTTCTTCTAGCAATTTTGAATAGAAATTCAATATTCTTCTAGTATTTGAATAGAAAAGGGCTAGACAGTGAGCAGCAAAAATGGGGGGAAAAACAAATATATTTGGACTCAAAAATGAGAATTAAATTGGTTTCACAGTAGTACTGAGTACATTGGATGTTTTTTTTTCCATTCCTGAGATACTTTACTAAAAAGGGGGTGAAAGCCATGTTGCTTAGAATGTAAGCACTCCAATTTGTACAAATAATCAACACATCAAATCCTATAATGGCATAAATGTATTTATAATCTATATACAAATGACTTAATTAAAAAAATGAGGATTAAAAAGAATATGACAAATAGTTTCCTAACGCTTTCCATTATATACTGTCTTGCATATGTATTATATATTTTTCCTTATTTGTACAGACTTCATGTTTTCATTAAAACCAAAGTATGCCAAAGCTTGAAGCTCTGGCATTATATGTAATGAAGAAAGAGTTCTGCCACGCTCTTATTAAAATAACAAAGCCTTTCTTCACTAACGATTGATGTTACCTTTTAAAAGATAAAATTAATCAGTCAGATGCAGGAGATGATGATTCCAGATAATAATGAATAAATGTGGAAACAAGTCATTCATAGTAAAATATGCCTTTACTCTTAATAACCTAAAATATAGTTGGCAGTATCCCCAAAATAAATGTAGACACTACGTGCTCCTTTCCCTCAGGTTACCAGGAGGATTTACTTGAACATGAGGGAAAAAGTGTATTATTTTATGTTTAGAAACTATATTTGTCTATGTTCTGAATTGCTAAATTTCCTTAGAACTTCAGAGGTACCTGCTTTTAAACATCATCACTCTAACAGGTAGCGTAATACCTACTGATAACACCACATAGATGAAGAAGTGGGGATTCTATTATTGATCTGGCATTGCCTGGGACGAGCTCACTTTGAGAGATGAACTATTATGATTTGAAAGTCTGTGTACTTTGGTTTGGGTGCTGCTGCTTTCACTAACCTGATATTCAGTCTTTTACTCAAGTCACAAAATCACTATCACGGAATATGCAGAGGACTGTGACATCGTGTTTCATATCTAAATGGTGTTGACAACTTTCTAGACATCTTTTACAGCTCAGTCATGTTCCTGCAGATTGATTCACTCAGTCTTATAAAGGTCCTGGTGAAGGAATGTTGATTATTCTGTTTACAGAGAGGATAAGGACCTCACAAAGTTAGTGACTTGCTCAGTGTCACACAGCTATTAAGAATTAGAGACCAGGTATAAATTCAGGTATTCTGATTCAAAAGGCAGAATTCTTTTCACTGCCCGCAGTTCTGACCTCAAAACTAACTGTGACTGGCTTGGTGCCTGTGGCTCAAGTGCCTGAGGCACCAGCCACATACACCTAAGGTGACAGGTTCGAATCCAGCCCAGGCCTGCCAAACAACAATGCCGGCTGCAACCAAAAAAATAGCCAGGCATTGTGGCGGGTGCTTATGGTCCCAGCTACTTGGGATGCAGAGGCAGGAGACTCGCTTGAGACCAGGAGTTGGAGGTTGCTGTGAGCTGGGATGCCATGGCACTCTACCCAGGGGGACAGCTTGAGGCTCTGTCTCAAAAAACAAAAACAAAAACAAAAACAAAAGCAAAAACTAAATGTGACTTTACAGAGGAAATAAAACATAGAGCTCAAAAGCTGGACCGATTTTAGGAACCTGATTTCAATACTCTTGTAATCACCAAGCCATCTCACTGATGTTAATTTTCAGCCTCAGTTCTGATAATAAAGCCTTCTGCCTTACTCCTGACAACCAGTCATCACCTGTACCTAGTTCTGGCAATTTTATCTCTGGACCTCATCCTTATTTCAGTGCCTACCTCCCATCCCAATTCTCTTATGGAGTGGGATCCTGCTTTACTTTAGACCAGTGGTTCTCAACCTTCCTAATGCCACGACCCTTTAATACAGTTCCTGTGGGTTGTGACCCACAGGTTGAGAACTGCTGTTGGAGACAGAAATAGAGTCCTGTCTTTGAACCCAATGTCTGGGACTTTAATTTCTTCTCAGCAGATTCCCATAGAGCTCGGAGTTCCTGTCTGCTTTGTGTATCATCTGGAACTTACTTGCTTCTATCTACTCCCTAGTTGGAGCTGTCACTGTGCACAAGCTGAGCTACTGCTTTAGCTTAACTGAGTTCTTGCTTTCAGGGTAAGTGTCCTTAAACCATTCTCTGCTCTACTGCTGAAGTCATTATTATTACAGGGCATAAGCCAAATTATGTTCCTTCTCACTAAAAAATGTTTCACTAACTCCTTAAAATCTCTAAGATAAGAGATAACCTTCAGGCTTGGCGCCCCTAGCACAGTGGTTACAGTGCCAGCCACATACACTGAAGGTGGCAGGTTTGAGCCCAGCCCACACCAGGTAACCAGCAATGACAACTGCAACAAAAAACTGTCGGGCGTTGTGGCAGGCACCTGTGGTCCCAGCTGCTTGGGAGGCTGAGGCAAGAGACTCACTTGAGCCCAAGAGTTTGAGGTTGTTGTGAGCTGTGACGCCATAGCACTCTACCCAGGGTGACATGGTGAGACTCTGTCTCAAAAACAAATAAATAAATAAAGTCAAACCCTTCAGAAAAAGATAAAATCCTTTCCTGCCTCATTAACTACCATTCATTCCAGTCTATTTTACACTTTAGTTACATCAACGTTCTTGATGTTCTTAAAATACAGTAAACACTCTCCTCCCTCTAAGCCGTGGCATGTGCACATCTCTTTGTCTTTGCTGCAGGCTCTTTGGATGCCAGTGGACAAACATCCTTTAGGCAACATAAGCTTTAAAGCAGTTACTGAATCTCTCCCAAAGGCTCTCTTGCGTTTCCAGACCACCTCATGTTTGCCTATGGTAAGAAATTCCCACCATGAATGGTACATAGTTGTTGATACAGAAGCCTCAGCTCCTGGAGGGTCAGGACTTCCTATTTAATTCATAGGTTTCCAGGAATTTCTTCTGCCTATCTCTGTGATAGCCCCTCTCCTTCCTGTTGACTCCCCAAGTCCTGTACATGCTTTATCTGTTGTCAGCTACACTCTCTCCCAGGATACAGAAATCCATGTGAATATCTAAGTTGCAGGAATGACTCTACATCCTACCTTCTTTCAGTTTGGAGTTAACTGGAAAAATCTTATGCAAATGTCAAAATATGACAAACCAAATGACAAGTCTGTAGGTATTAAATTCATCTGGGGTAAGGGGTAAGGACTCAATGTGGAAGGTCATATTGAACTTGGGAGGGATGGCAAACAAGGGTAACCATCAGGTACTATTGAAGCAGAACAGGCATCAGAAGCTGAAGTCCTAAATGAGGCTGCCGGGAAGGCCACCTGCCATCCACTTCCATGAAGTAGCGGGTCAGATCAGAGCAATGTGGTGAATCCTGGGGGCTATGTGTCCATCTCAGGAGATGCGTGTGTTAGGAATACACAGGAGCATTTGCATATAAAATAAGCATGCTTTTAGTTTGAGCTCCCTATTTGCTGGTGAGCCTTTTCTTTTTTCTTCAGAAACAGCGTATGTGTAGTGGCACAATCACGGCTCATCGTAATCCTGAATTCTTGGGCTTAAAGTATCCTCCCACTTCAGCCTCCTGAGTAGTTGGGACCACAGGCACATGTCCCCATAGCTGGTTAATGTTTAAACATTTTTTGTAGAGACTGGGGTCTCACTATGTTGTCTCAGTTGGTCTTAAACTCCTGGGCCTCAAGTGATCCTCCTCCCTCAGCTTCCCAAAGTGCTGGGATTACAGGTGTAAGCCACCATACTCAGCTGATTATCTCGCTTAAAATGATAACTAACTGCAATACATTGAAAGTAGAAGAAAAGTTAGATAGGCTTGGAGAGAGGTGATATTTTCTAACTCTACATGAGAAATGGGTAAATACGGGGAAACAGCATAGAGGATACAGAAGGGAATCCACAGGTAAGCTAACTTAGACTGAATATTCAAATAATATATAACCTCAGTTAGAAATGCTATAATTTGAATTTATTAAGAGTTAATTTCTTCCTTAATTGCAAATAAAACTTGTATCATATGGAAATTACAAAATTATCAGAATTTGAGAGAGGAAACTGTGAGGTTGAAGAAATAAAACATGATTAAGATGAAACACACACATAAATATATGCTTTATAATATTTTTAAAAATCTTTAATTCACTGATTACCAAACACAACATTGTATGTGAACTACTTTGTACCTAATATTCACATATCAGCTTTTGGCACCATGTAAAGATAAATGTAAACAATATATACGAATTCTCTCTCTCTCTCTCAAAAAAAAAACCACTCTTTAAATACTGCAATCATTCAATTAATTCTTAGTATAGGATCCATTTTCTCACCCACCCTTTAAGGAAAAAGGTATATATCTTCTTGTTCTCCCATTCATATTTTCCTTTAATTACGTCTAGATTTATACCCTTTCATTATAGTAAAATTGAGTGCTTATAAACATTCAATATCTCAAAATTAGTCAAATTGTTGTTAGGATGAACTTCTCCATTTTATTTTGGCTAGGAAGTGGGATTGAGAGAAGTCAGACATCAGAAGACTATGGGTAGCGTGAAGGAGAGGAGAGAGAGGCCCTACTCACCAAACCAAGCCTGCTGGTCTCCTTGAACTTCTATGGCTAAGCCAAAGTCTGCCAATTTCACAGCTGCTCCCTTGGATTTGCTAGCTAAAAGCAAATTCTCAGGCTTTATTTAGAAAGAAAAAAAAGAGAGACTGAAGTGAGAACCTATTTTAAGTAACTATTCAAAATTAACATTTTATAGGATTAGAAATAAAAAAAAAAGTCATGCACTGTGGTCTCTCCTGGAGACTGCCATCCTAAATCCCAGGGAAAATATAGTTAGACAATGATTAAAAATTATCATGTGTGCAGGCTTCAGACAGATGCATAACTGAACTGGAGAGATGCTTGATACAAGAGAGAATACACTTGGGGAGATATCATATGAATGAGAGCACCTGTCTGGACCTGCTCACATGTTCCAAGGACCGCTTAAGATTCACACTTGGCCACGGACATGGACTTAGAGCCTAACAGAGAACAGACATTGTCAGCAGAAGGAAACTTGGCAAAATGATAACAAGAGTTGGACCAATTTACAGACATTTGGCAAATGAAACTTGCAAATTGAATCCTAGTTAACTTCAAGAGTTTGGACCCAAATGTAGTGATTTTGATTTCTCAATGTTTCCAAACAATTTCTGTATAAATTTTGGACACTTTACTCTCAATTATGAATTAAAATTGCTGTCTTTAAGAATCTGTTTATTCTTAAAGGCAGAAAGAGTATATACGACTATTTGCCAAATGTTATAGTTAGCTTTTTTTCTTTACAAGCCAGTTTTTAAAACGTAATTTACATTTCTTCAAAGTATGATTCAAAGCATTACTGATATACTTATGTTCCCATCTCAAAATACCATGAGAAAGATACAGTTTTATGTTCTTGGGTATTTATCATTACTCAGTCTTGGAATTAGGCTGTGTCTACACCACTGTTTCCCAACCAATGCATCAAGACACATCTGTACTTTGAAAACAAGTACCAGGGCAAAGTATTTAGTTACTCTGGACCCTCTTTGGAGGTTTTTTAAAAAATTAAGGGAGAAATTATTCAAGAAAAGAAGGCTGATTAATACAAACAGCTAAGGCTGTACACTCCCAGCTCTCAGCCTAGATTATATACATACACATACATAAATGGGAGAGTGGCTCAAAGTCTGCCTACTTTGGAATTAAGAACCAACAAATTTAAAGGTGTGTCTCAGACGGAAAAAGTTGGCAAACAATGGACTTTACCAGTGCCAAAACAATTTGTTTAAAAATTCCATAATCAAATTAATTTCTTTTGTAGTTTGACAAATGAGTCATTTTATTTTTTAAATCAAATTGGCTATTTTTTTTTCTGACTTGATTAGTAAGTTCTTTTGGTGGTTTTGACCTTGTGTAAACACAGCCCAAACCAGCATTTAATCTATTAATTAAGCCAGCCATGCAAATTAGCAAAGACCCATAACCAGAGCTTGGAAGAAATTAGGTTAAATCTATAAGAAATCAGAGTGTGGGCAAGTTAAGTTTTAATCGAGTACCAGACTTCTTCAGGCTACTGCTGCTCACTGCCATCAGATCCATCACTACTATGACAATTAGTGAATGTGAGAAAACTTTTGTAATTTTGGGGGGCTGATAGGGCTTTTGAACTACCTCAACACTAAATACATCATTTAATTTGGAATATGGAATGATGCCTCAAAGATCTCCATGCTGCAATAACTTTTAGTAAAACCTAAATTATTGGAACTCTGGTTATCTTTCACTATATTATAGTATCTAATCATATCAAATTATTCACATTTGATATTTTACGTTTACAACCAAAATTTGTTATTGTTTACCACATTCATGCATTTTTGTGTTTGATCGAGAAGTAATTTCCAACTATTAATTTATTGAATAACTTAGAAACAACTACTGTAAGCAATAGTTGCTTTTATTTCTTTGCGACCTTCATGTTCAAAAGCATTAAGATGGCACAGATTTTTCCTAACAAATCTTCCTAATTTGTCAACCACAGACTCATTTAAAAAAAAAAAAAAAAAGAGTTCCAATCTTTTCAGTAATCAAAGGCATTTTAGGTCTTTTAAGTCAAGTGGTCATGAAGTTTTAGAGCAAATGCTGATGTCATTAGTGAATGAACTTTGAAAACACTGAATGTGTTTTTAACTCTGAGCACTACATAAGAAGCTCTGGGCAGTGCTGTATGCCTTATGCCCTTAAACACCAAGTATCTGCCAATTCAGAAGAAATGGAATGCCTTAGAGTTTTATCATGCATGACCTGCAAGTGACTGGGGCAAATATTCATAACTAGAGATGACCTAGAAGACCTCACTGGAGGGCCTTGTGAGTCATCCAGGAAGATAATGAATCCATGTGGAGTAGTGTTTCACTTTATACCCAGGAAGACTGTTCAGCTGCAGTTATGTGCAGGAAAAGGCAGGGCTATTTCAAAGTGATCATAGAGATTTTCACATTAATAGCACTGAAATGGTTTCATGTTTATGTGTATCTTTCAGGCAGACCTAAAATACAGAATTATAGAATGAAAGCTGAAAAGTTAGAATAATTATTGACTTTATTAAAGGATTATTTGCTTTTTAATGCTTTGTCATAAGATGACTTCCAATGGCAGCTCCAACTAAATGTTAAAAATATCACAAATTTGATTTCTATGTGACTCTTTAGAATACATTGGTTTGAATCGTCCTATTACCATGTTCTGTGAGGGCATGGGTGGCTTAATCACCAAAGCTTCCTAAAGCAACGTTTTAATCAGGACAGGAAATTCTTACTTTCCTGATTCGCCACCATTCACAGAGCCCCCAACTTAAAAATTTATATTTTGCTACAAATTTCATTGGGAAGGTTAGTTTAAATTCTGAATACCTACAGAAAGGAAGATAATTTGTCTAGTCTTCCCCCAAAGCCTAAAGAGTAGAATCTCTCACCTAATTTGTGATTATCTACTTAGAAAGGGTCACCACTATACACACATCTGCCACCATTCCACTATTTTAATTTTCTAAGACCAATAAGACAAGTGAGAACAGAAACAAAGGTCTTTCAAGGCAGCTACAGGTGACCCTGGGGCACAGAGCTGAGAGAGAAACCGGTAGCATGATGATCTGGGAGGTAGGTGAATATGTAGGTTCACGTCCTGGCCCGAACTGTTAGCTACATGGACTTGGACAACTTGCAGAATTCTTAGAGCTAATTAATTAGTTCCTTCATCTCTGACATGAAATAAGGCTACTAAATGATATCTTGTGTCAGTATCTATGGAGTGATAATATCTGGTGGGATTTTATCACAGGATCCCTGGTCCCCTGTAGCGACAATACATACATTAGTAGCTAATGTGGCCATTTCAGTGTGCAGAGTAATTAATGTTTGTAATGAATGTCCATGACTTGAGAAATGTCTGCGTTAATAATGACAACTTAAATGCAATCTATTAGGCTAGTTTTTACATCTGGAGATTATCTCTAAGCTCTTACAAAGCAATCACTTTTTAACTGGGTTTTTAAATAGAGTCTACTGACATTCTCACACATAGGTTCCTTCCCTACCCCCATTGTTTCCTAATGATGCAGGATTTTCCATGACATCTGGTCTCAGTGTCAACAACCATTTATAGCATATCAGCTGTAATGAGCAGCAACTGTTTGCAAGTTTTGTTCTGTACTTCCATATGGATGCAATGGCAACTTCTTTCAATATGATTCAAGATGTACTTGAAACTGTTCAAATACCTCAAAGTACACAGGCCAGTTGTTGGACATTTTTAGAACTGGAAGACACTGGGGAGAGAAATGAACTCAAACCTCTGAGTTTCTAAATGAGGTAGGAAGGTTGAAAAAGATGAAGTCTGAACTCAAAGCCAAATTTCCTAATTCCTTCCTTTTAAAGATGGGATCCTGGGAAACCATCTCCTATTGCATAAAAAAATTCATTTACAAAACTAGTCTGTTCAGTAGATATTTTTAGAAGAATTTGGGGTACTCAAAACCTTTTACTACCCATCTCCAAAACTCATGAAAAAGAATAAGTTTTAATCTTGCTTCTCCAATTATCAGGATCTTTATTAAAGAAAGTGATTTGGTAAAGACAATGATCATCTTTAGCCTTAGTCATCTCCCAGATTTATCTGTGCACATAAGTGATAACGACCTAAATGACTCAACTATTAGGAATATATATGTGAAATCGTGTCTTTAACATTTTATTTATTTTCAAATATTATAGCAACAGCAAATTATTTATTTTATTTTTACATATCGTCTGATTCTTTCATTACCTTGGGTATTATACTTTAAGGAGATTATTATTTTTTTAAATTTCTTTCCTCTATTGGAAAATTCCAATATTTTAACGGGAAGTTACCATTCTCTGCTCTAGTGGGTTTCAGTCACTTTTCTTTGCCAAAGAAGGTGTGAACAAAGTTCCCAGAAATAAACTCATCTGGGGGGATTTTTAAAATTTTGTATGAATTGAAATCTTAAAGTTTTGCATGAGCTGAAAAGTCCAGAGGCCAAGCTCATTTGTTTCATTTTGGTCACATGCTACAAGCGATGTCAGTTTTTATTTCTGTGTGAAATGAATGCCCGAGTGCATGTACAAGAAGTTTCTAACTGAAACACGTGCTATACGTTTGCAATTAGGAAGTACTATTTCTACTGGTGTGCATATATGAGCAAGTTCATCAAAGTCATTCTGTACCCCATTCCTCTTTTCTTGATTTACTTCTATAATTATCAGCACACATTGTCATGTAGTCTGAAAGAACCAGACGTAACTCCAGTGAGACTGTGCTAATGACCCCAATTTCTCCACTGCCTGATATGCCCTAGGCACTCGTCAAGAAACAACAGAGTGACTAAATGAATTAGTGAATTTTTCATGTGCATAGTTTCTGAAATCTCTCATTTGTTTCTAGAATACCTACACATCACACACAAATGGTATGTTCTTTAAATTGCTATCTACATATAGTTCTGAGAAATGTAAAATACTTGTGATTTTATAATTATTCAAAGTATAAAATTCACAGTTTGATATATCTACTATTCATGGCTTGACAAGGATTTACTGAATGTTTCTTACTTTTTCCCTTCAGAAAACAGATTTATTTCTACTCCAATAATAAATTTAATTTATTCCCATAAAATAGTCTTTAAAATCCCCCCAAAGCTCCAGAATTATTATCTTCATTAAAATACTTATCTATTACCTATCTACTGTCTCCCCCCTCTGATATCCATCCATTCACCCATCCATCCACCCATCCATCCATCCATCCATCCACCCATCCATCCATCCATCCACCCATCCATCCATCCATCCATCCACCCATCCATCCATCCATCCACCCATCCATCCATCCATCCATCTACCCATCTATCCATCCATCCAACCAACCATCCATCCATCCATCCATCCATGCATGCATCCATCCATCCATCCATCCATCCATCTACCCATCCATCCATCCATCCACCCATCCATCTATCCATCCATCCATCCACCCATCCATCTATCCATCCTTTACTTTCCCATTAACAGTGTCCTTTAACAGGGAGGTAAATAAGAAAGGTGACATCTCCCTGCTAAGGAAATTCACAGGGTGTCGAGTTATTGCTAAATGATTCACCTGGGTTTATGCAGCCTCCTTTCCAAATGGCTGTTCATGAAGTATTTCAGTAACCATTTCTGATATGCTTGAACTCACAAAACCCTGCTACTGTGTGTGAACTAGTTATGTGAAAAGCACAGCTATGTGACTGTCTCCTTTTACATCTGTCAGCTGACCCACAGAAATGATGTTCTCCAGGGTCTTAAATGAAAAAAACACATCTGACCTGATATTCCTTTATTCCTTGGGACACTAAAACTTGTCACTTGTTACTGCAGCCTCTCATTGACCTGCTATCTTCTGGATGCAGTATGTGGGTTGTGCTTCCTCCTTTCTGGAAGGAACACCACCAATACATTTTCCACATATGTATTTTGAAATGATCTTTAATTCAAAGGCCAGTAGGGTTTCCATACACAAAAAATCTGCTCCTGTTTTGTCCTATAATATATGCCCACAGCTAAAACACTGCCTTAGCAGTAGCTTACAAGTTGTTTGATGAATGTTTGTTCTTTCTTTTTTATACCTGAATTTTAGACCACCAATTCACAAATATCCAACACTGAGTTGCAGCCCTCTGTTCCTTATAAACAATCTATTTGTAAGCACCCCAAACTGACTGTCTTGATGTGGCCTAAATTCAATGTGGAAAATGCATTTCATTAGTCTCTACATGTCATTTTCCAAGGCCATGGCCAATACCACCTTGCTGGTTTTCTAACTTGGAAAGTTTTACTTCACACGACAGTCTATTTGCCAAATTATGTTGCCTCCTACTTGACATATATCTTAAATGTATCTTATTTTCTTTATTACTAATGATACAGATTTTGTATAACTCTGGAAGATCTAATAGGTAGGTCTATTTTAACCTTCTGATTTACTACACTTAGAACCATTTTCCCAAATAATTCTTAATGCTGCTCGCAAACTAATTTTCTTGTCATTGTTTTGATCTATTCTTTGGTTTCTGTAAAGGCTTTCAATTCATCCAAACAACTGAACTGAGAAGTAGTAGTGATTAAGCAAGCAAACTTGGAATCAAATTGCCTGGGCCTAAATCATCTTAGTAGTTCTTCTACCTGGAGTTGCTAAATTTCCCCTAATGTTATGGGAGTGTGTGTGTAATCATAGTACCTTCCTCATAAAGATGTTGTGAAGATTCATATGATAACACAATGCAGGGTATGTGGTCAAGGCTTTATACATGGAATTTCTTACCATTTTCATTATTAAGATCCTACCTTGATTCAAACCCTCCTAAAGATTACAAGCCTATCCCTGAACTACAGCATGATCATCATACCCCCACTGCTAGATCTCTCTGATGCTGCCAGATCAACATCAATTGGCCTGGCACTGGCTGCATCTCACACAGAGGCTGTGGTTCTCCTCTATGCTCTGGGTACCACCTTCTGCTGACCGAAGCTCTGACTGTGCTCATGTCCCAGCACCCTGATCCTTCTGTTGCTTGTCTCTGGGACATCCTCAACTTGACTGCTGTGCCTCAACCTTGCTTTCAAGTCCTCAGAATTTTTCTTCTCATGATTTCCACGTCTAATTAACCCCAAAGAGAGGCAAGTTTATTCAAATATTCAACTATGTATATATTCAGAACGATCCCCATCTCTGTATTCTCTTTAGGTCATTCAAATGTTAATTGACATATACAATAATCTATTGTATTAAATGTTCTCTTTTACATTATAAATGGGCTTTTGATAGAATGTCATTCATTCTCAATTGAAGCAACATGCAGAAAATATTTGCTAGATACAAGGTCCTCAGACTTTTTAAACAGGGGGCTAGTTCACTGTCCCTCAGACCATTGGAGGGCCAGACTGTGGGCCCTGAGACAAGTTGGCTGCTAAGCAGGACAGGCAGTGGCAGCAAAAACACCTGGCAGACTGGATAAATGTTCTAGGCGGGCTGCATGTGGCCTGCGGGCCGTAGCTTGAGGACACCTGCTTTATCCTAACAGGTAAACTTGCTAAGTGCTAGCAGATATACATAGTCCTTTTAGGCTCTTCAAAAGAATATGACCTTAGCCATACCTTTAATCTTTAAAGCTCTGGGAATCAACTGAAATCAAAAAGAAGATTCCAGAAAACTAAGCAATGTTTTGCTTATAAATCACATCTTCATCTAGCAAACTGTGCGTATTTAGAGATATTCTTCCCTAGAATATAACATGACTGGAGAAACTATAGATATATAATTTATTATAACTAGAAAACTCTGCACGTGAGAAGACATCGTCTGGGTCCTCCCGCTGAACACACACAGTTTGCGACATTTGCCACCCTTATCCTACTGCTTGGAAAGTGCCGAGGTTGCAAACAAAAGATTGAAATATACAGTGTTCACATTTACTCTTGGGCTCATCCATTAGCTTTATTTCATTTAAACTTCTAGCCCTTCACTATTTCTTTGAAAGCCTACAAGTAAAACTAGAATGCTGGGAGAAGGGGACAGAAAATCAATTAAAATGCACTTTCCTTGCCGAACTATTTCATTTCTAAACAATCTAAAATTTTGTGGTCCTCAAGGGTATCAGAAGTTCAGTGACGTTTGAAAAGTATTAGTAGGCATTCGAACAAGAATATAAACATAGGATGTAAATATATTTTTTACATACATATTATTTGGTGACAAAATTGGTTTTACTTTTTTTTCACCTGCATTTTTTAAATGTACTAGTTTCTTGGCTCCTAGCTATGTCAATAAACAAAGGACCAAGAAATCTCAGTGCCCTCAGAATTTCTAGGACTGATAATAAGGGAAAGAGAAGGTAAGAGTCCAAAATGAGGTTCTTTATTACCCACAACTCTGGCTAAACTTCTACTTAGTGACTTTGAATGCTAATCACTTCCTAACTTTCATGAGTATTTACACTTTATTAAGTGTATATAGTATGAATGTAACATACTATGTTTGATGAATGTCCATAGAATGAAGAAGGAATGAACAGTCCTGCGGAAAGTCACATTCAATGCTACATCCATTCTTTGGAGGAAGAAAATAAAGCAACAAATTTATTGTACACATTAGGAAGTTATTTCTCTCTGAGCATATAGGGATTTATATGTCTCAAGTGTGTATTAGAGAACAGATGAAATAAGAGATTGTGGTGAGGGAAAGTGCCTGAATTATATGTTGGAATGAGTCCATAAAACTTTATTGCTTATATTTTTGCCTTTACGGGCATAATTGCAGCTGAACAGTCATTAGGAACTGTGTGGTGGTTTGTCTTCTCCAAGGGCATTACTCACCTTCAGGTCCCGATGGACTACGCCCATCTGATGGCAGTGTAGCACAGCCTCCAGGATCTGCTGAATGCAATGACTGCATGCAAACACCAGGGGGCGTGTGTTAGTTCCAAGCTTACACTCACTGTCTGTATACCCTCAGAGAGACTGGGTTCAAGTGCAGAGCTAGCAGACAACTGGGGTTGTATTGTATCACCTTCAGTAATGTGAACATATTGCTCAAGTAGAGTGACTACTACCTCAGAGCAGTAAGGATCTTGCCAGATATCAGCCGGAATGTGGATCCACTTGTCCTAGAAAAATCCATCTTGGAAATGATTTCATTTCATTCAGGAGCTCATTTCCTGGTTATAAGTTCTTCCAGGAAATGAATTAGAACACATATACAATCTTTATAGCTATTGTGCTTCACTTCCACCCCCAGCACAAAAACCGTTTCCCTATTCTCACCCATTTTTCCAGCATCATTCTGAAAGCTGTCACATTAGCAAGCAAGGCACCATTCAGGTTAAATTAGGATACATAATGAATTTTTGATAAATCATTAACTTCTTGTACTTTAATTTAGCTGGCAATTATTATCTCTTGCCTAAGGGTTCATCAGACTCAAATGGAGCAATGTGTAACCAGTTGTTCTGCTACAGCAACCCATGGTCTCAGAACAGAAGTGGTGTTTAAATCTACAGGCGCACATACATCACAGGCCAAGTTCATCTCCAGGCAAATGCTGGACCACTCAAGAAAGCCTGCCCCCAAACCACCTCTGGTCGTTTGCTATGTGAAAACTTAATAGCTTGTGTTCTTAATATTGTTTTTTCTTGTTGCTGTGATGTATATTTAGCCTGTAGATGAGCAAACTGAAAGAGGCATCATGCATTATCTTTTACTCATTTTAGGAAAAAGTTGGGAACGGCAAGGGAACCATTTCAATTACCCACCCTCTGCCCTTTCCCCAGAAAAAAATAAAATAAAACTCCTTTGATTCAGATTTATGGACTCCATATACTGACCTTCAGGTCCCTGTGAACTATGCCATTTAGGTGACAATGATTTACACTTTCTAGAATCTGCTGTATACAATGACTGCAAAGATACAAGGGCAGAATGGAAGGGAAAACATTTTAAAGGCACATAATCACATTGAATACAAAATAAAATGAAAGTTCAAACGAAACAAACAAACAAACAAAACTTAGATTCTTCAAACTGTTTTAGCTTTACACTGGAATTAAATAATGCTGAATAAAGCTAATTCTGGTTCTAACAAAAATGACGTCCAACAGAGAACTTGTGACGTGTTCAGACAAAACAATTTGAGCTGTGTTTTTTTTTTTTTCATTGTAAGTCTACAAATTAAGTCATTTGGATAAAGAAGTTGAAATTCTCATGTTTAGAAAGAAAAATTTATAAATCATTCCCACAATTTTCTGGGAAAGTTTTTCAGAGATTAAAATATCCAGATATTTCTTATACACATCTAAACTGTTTAAAATCTGAGGTCACAATTAAACATAGGTGTTGAAACAAGAGGGTAAACACAGATGAAGTGGCAGGTGAAACGAGGATCAAAAAAAAAAAAAAATGAAGGGACACATTTACCATTTTAACTTGAGAGTGTTGCTTTCTGTAAAATATATAATAGGAAAACTAATACAAGTCTCCCTGTTAGCGGGATAATTGAAAGTAAACCCATAGATAAAATAAACCCCTTTGGAGTGTAAAAATACTCTGGGGAAGGGCTAGGATGCTTACAAAAAATAAATAAAATTTCAAAATCTCTGGGGGCACCGGTAATTTTAAATTCCTGTCCATACACTTCTATGAGGGAAAACCTGTGCTCATTACTGTGTCAAAGAAGATTTTATGCTGTCCTCGCTAAAGGCTCACTGATGTCAGATAGACCACTAATTAAACAAGAAAGGAGAAATCGTTGATCGACACCTATAAAGGCCCCTGAGCTGTCATCTGACATACAACAGTGTAGGACATACTACATTGATGAATTTTGTATGAGTTCACTGTGCAATTCAAATGTAAGTATGTACAGAACTACTTTCATTCAATCAAGGATGAAGCAAACATTTTAACAGACATTTCCAGGCATTTAACATACAAAACAATATTACTCGAAAGGAAATTCCTGAATTAAAAAAAATCATCTGATTGCTTATAATGTAAATATCACCAAATTGATCAAGACCGATTTGCTAGCTCTAACCCTATAAACAGTGCCACTGAAAAAGCCTCACATTGGTTGTTGTTGACTACTCAGCTTATGTGGGCACTGGGTGATTTGTAAACCACAGGACACTTTAGCTTTACAATAATGTCCACTTCATGTTACTTTGGGGGAATATTTCTCTTTCCCCTCTCAAACCACAAGCATACATTACTGGGCCTAGGGAGTAATAGCAAATATAAAAGTAAACAATGATTCATATTAAATCAGCTTTGCCATTTTTCACTAGTGAGGATAGATTCAATTCTTAAATTCTTGACCCATAAGCAAACGGACTTTACAATTGGGGCTAGAGGGGGGTAAACATCCTCTTTATGCTTGTATTTAGGAAGAGCATGTTTCTTTTGCTTTTGTGTGGGACTTATCCTAAGAATATCCTATGGTTCATTCTCAAACTTAATATAAGCATGCATATGAAATGAACCAACCCAAAGGGTCTGTCTCATTATCTGTAAGGTTCTTTAACAGTGAAAACAGTTTTTCTTCTCATTTCAACCAATATTTTTCAAGCGTAATATCCTGCTGAACATAACTTTGAAAAGGAAAATAAATGAAATTTCCTAACTTGTTTACCACTTGAACTAAAATCATTATCCTGTCTTTAAAGATAGTCACATAGCTTTTCCCAGGGTTGCTCTGAGGCCCTAACGTAAACATCTGGGGTAAAGTGAACAAGTGATGAATCACTCATCACAGTTATTAGTGACTCAGAACTTTTTACTTGACTTTGGCAGTTAAAAAAAAAATCCATTGAAAAATTAGAGTGTAGTTATATAGAGATGGATTCACGGAGTGCCATAAACAGTAGCATTAGACCAAGAAGAAAAATTAGAAATTCAGAAGTGATTCTATGTATGCATGTGCCACTTTGGAGGGATAGGGAACCTCAGTTATCAGCTGAGTATCTGTTGAAAGTCAGGCTACAGTGGGATGAGGAAGCTTTAGGAAGCTCTGAAAGCATCAGAGAATGAGAACAGAGTCATGAACTGAATTTTCACAACATTTCATCTACATTGCTAATAATGAGCTAATTGCTCTTGATTAGATTTTCCAAAATAAATGACAATTACGGAATATATATAAGGAATGCGGAGGAAAATTAACACCGTGCAGTCTGAGTATTAGCTAATCAAGGGGATTCATGTTACTTCATTCCAAGAAGTTTTAAATCAGACAAAACCTTGGTTTATTTTAAACTTCCGTAAAGATGGTGTCCATTAAGAAGATTGGAAAATTACTCTTGAGCTTCTGAAATCCCTAAACAAATATTGTTCAAGTCAGAAAGAAATCCAAGGGCTTTAATGAAATTTCCAGAGTTAAACCGATCATAACAGATAATAATAAAGCTTTAAAAAGACCACTGTGGCGTTTTGTGGTCTGTTTCCATTTTCTAACTCACAGTTGGGTGGAGCTTTCTGTGCTGATGGAATCTGTGCGCTATATCTGATCTAGCCAACTGGTAGCCACTTGAGGCTGTTAAGCAGGTGGAATGTCACTAGACCAACTGAGAACTGAATTTTTAATTTTAGTTAATTGGAATAGAAATTCAAATAGCCATGTGACTAGTAACTGCTACTGGGGAGACCCAGCTACCGCTGGAACTAGTGGATCTCAATGTTCCATCTCTGATCTCTGCTAAAAGCTGTACTTCTTCAGCAGAAGTCATTCCCATGAGGTGGGGTTTTTTTTGTTTGTTGTTATTGTTTTTTATAAAACATGTATTCTAAATATAGATGCTTGATACAAATAAAGTTTAGGCCAGATTCATAGAACTTTTTTTTCCTCTAAGAATTGGCCTAGAGATACTGAAAAGAGATAAACATCAAAATTAAAAGGGACTCATCCTGAGAAGAAGTCCAAGATGGCTGTATAGAATTCTCATAAGAGTGTCATGAGGCCTTCATAAAGAAACACAGTGAGCAATGTTTGAATGTTGACTCTTGCATCTTTCCAAGAGCAAGTCACTTACCTGGCATCGGCTTCACTGTAATATTCTCTTGCCACTATGTCTTCAAACAGTTCCCCTCCAGTAACTCTGTGCGGAGAAACAAGATAATCAACATTAAAAAGGAATCGAAAGTTAAGCATCAAGGGTTAAGCATATGAAAGTTAAGCACTGTTCATAAAGAATTTTTTTCTTAGGTTAGTTTTAAAATTGTCAAAATGTAAAGTATTTTAAAACATCATGAGATTTACAGTTTGCTAAATCAAATCTAAGTTTATCTAAAGCTTTCGGTTTTTTCTATTTGTCTTTTTATCACAAGATCCTAAAGTCACAATTTTATATACAATTTTTAAAACAATTAGCAATATCTTTTACAGAAAATGGTTTTATAAGTCTTCATTTCAAGTCTCCCAATATTAATTGATCTGAAAAAATGTACTGTTTTTTACAGTGCTGTTTATAACCATTTTTTGTACAAACAGACATGGAGCACATGGCCGCTGTATGAGTATGAGTTTGCATGCCCTATCTCTGTGTATCTTCTTATATTTTTTGGTGTGTATCTTTAAATATATATATTTTCCCCTTGCAAATACACATATTAATATACGTACCCTTCTTACAAAAGTATAAATAATTAAGCTGATTACAATAGCTTTTATTTAAATTTTTTTTTAGACAGAGTCTCACTCTGTCACCTTGGGTAGAGTGCTTTGGAGACCTAGCTCACAGCAACCTCGAACTGTTAGGCTCAAGAGATCTTCTTGCCTCAGCCTCCCAAGTAGCTAGGAGTACAGGCACCCCCTGTAATGCCTGGCTAGTTTTTCTATTTTTGGTAAAGATGGGGTCTCTTGCTTGCTCAGGCTGCTCTCAAGCTTCTAAGCTCAGGCGATCCACCAGCCTTGGCCTCCCAGAATACTAAGATTACAGGCATGAGCCACCATGCCCAGCCAATATTTTTAGTTTTACATTAATTCATGGGCACCATTTCATATCAAAAGTATTTTTTCCCGTTTTAATGTAACATAGCAATGAATGGAGGTATGCATGTGTGCACACGTATATTTTTGCATATTTGTGGGTATTTCTGGAAGAGCTATTCTTACAAGTAAAATTTCTGGGTCAAGGAATATCCACACTTGTAATTTTCTTGGGAAGACAGGGAAAATTTCCTTCCACAGTGATTATATTCCAATGCTATGAAGGTACCCTTTAGAAGGTCTAAATCATTACTAATAACAGTTGTTATCAAACAATAAAAACACTTGATTGAAACAATAGTTATCTAATGTTAATATGAATTTTTTAATGATTAGTGAAGTGAACCATTTTCTCATATATTTATTCAACCACTTCTTTCTCTAATCTGGCTTGATTTTACAAGAAAATTCCATCTTTGGAGGTCACCCTTATAATAGATAACATTTGCTTCTGAATGCTTATAAATGGGCCACACAGTGTACTAAGCATTATCTTACGTCTTAAGTCATCACCATTACCCTCTGAGGTGGATTTTATCATTAGCCCAGTTCATTGGTGAGAAGATGGAAGTTCAGAAAGATTAAGTCACTTGCCCAAGATCACACAGCTTTTGGTGGCATAGGCAAGCTAGCCATTTTCACAGATCATGCTCTCAACCATTAAACAGTGCAGCCTTTCCAATAATTACATCGCCAGTTATTTCAGTTGAAAAGCATGAGTCACTGGAAAAAGTCTTAAGTGCAGGTACAAAGCTTCATCTATGAACATTATAGAGTGAGATAAAATGATGCTAAGATAGTTTTTCTTTTTGCTTTTATGTTTTATTAAGTTCTGCAACATCACCAAAGGATAGCATGTTCCAGAGATCATGTTATTACACGCAATTCTCCTTTTCTAACAAATAACGATGTGACACTAAAAACTTTTTCATACAAATTTTTCTGAATGTTTATGTATCACCCAATGCATTCTGAACATTTAAAGGTCCTTTACTGCCATTGTTGTCAATTCTACTACTTTTACATAAAATGTGTACCTAAAATTATTACATAAAGCTTCACGTAACGGGCTTGTTCTGAAAACCATGGTTACTCGTACATGTAATTTCAATCAGTAGTATAGCTATTTTTTCCAATTAGAATCCATAATAATAAGGCAAATCACACAGTGTGCCCTAAATTATAATGCAAAATAATTAGGCCAAAAATACTCAAACAAACCCATTGTTGCTCCTATAAGGATAAGAGTTTTGTAGGATTTCTTCCTTTGAATATTGTTAGCATAGACATATATTTACATTTATCTTTGTTTTTGACCTTGAGTACCTAGAAAACCTGTATACATTACAATTTTGAACTACTAAAATGTTTAACAAATATTGATGAAAAAGTCTATTGTTAGCTAATAAAATTGTTGCTGTTTATATATTGTATCCCATGAAAATGGTCAGATCTTGGATCCCTGGGATCTTTGTTATGTTATTACCCAACTAGCATAAACACATAACGTTTGTTCAATTAATGGCTATTGGAATCAGGGCTAAATGAATTAACCCTGTTAGATAATCATACCATCCATTTTCTTTTTGGTAAGGCTAGACTTTGTGTGACTTCACAGGAAAAAAAAAGTCACACACCAAAGGTTAGCTACACATAGGAATAGATTTTATTTCTTAAGGCATTTGTATTTAAAGAAGAATATTAAAGAAGTAGGGAGACTAGAATTGTGGTTTTCAATGATTTAAACAAATTTGAAAGGATGTAGAGTTTCATGTTGAATTTTGGGTTATGAGTCAACCGTCTTTGACAATACTCTCTCACAACTTCTACATTCATTCTTCCCATTATTTAAAAATATCCTATTCAAATGAAACCATTTTATCATTTCTGCTACATGTGTGTATGATAAATGTCTCAAAAGGAAAAAAGGGAAGTTATAATAGAATTCACTGCTTTAAAGAGAAGGTAGTGAAGTTTTGCACTTTAACACATTTCTATACTCACATTACTGTTTAATGGAGCACAAAATCAGGCAGTAGCTATATATTTCTGAAAATTTTTAGTATGCCACATGAAATTTCATATAATACTACAAATTAAATCAGACTCATGAATAAATGGTTAGATTAATCAACTAATTAAAGATTTTGTGAATATATCGATGTCAGAATTCTCCCATAATATGTAGCATATTAATTATGGATTTAAGCATTAATTACCATTTATGAATTTCTGGAACATTAGGGCTTACAGAGAATAAAGATAATTATAAAACCATGAAACGATGAGACTCCACATAGCAGAAAGATAAATATTTGTGTTATTGTTATTCACAGTGATGTTGATTCACACTGTGTTACCCTACAGAATGAATTGTTCTTTGATTTCTAGTTTATATTTTTGTGACTTATATCAGAAATGGTGAAAGGTAGTTTCATATTGAATATTCGTAAAACTGAATGAGTAACATAGCTTTGATTAGGAGGCTGAGCAGCTGGTAAAGTTCAAAATTGGTTTCTTTTTAAATAAAATGGTGCCACATTAATCCCAGAGCTAGCACTGACATGGAGGTTAGAACAACCAGTGCCTGAGGTGGTGGTGGGAAGCCAGGAACCTTGGGCTGGAGCTGAGTGGAAAAGCAGCTAAGTAGGGTCCAGCTAGCATGCAATGAGGAGACAATCTTGCCAAGATCAGGCTGAAAATACCCCTTGGAAAAAGGAGGGGATTAAGTGTAAACCTGAAGGACAAACCCAGTGAGCTAAGACCACCAGAAATCCAAGACTCTGAGCAGAGGCAGTAGGGGTTCATTAAGCAGTCAAGCAAAGATCACCACAATCAGATCTGAATTTGTAAAAAGCGTATCTTACACTGTCTTACATTGGGTAGCTGGTTAAGTCTTCATGTAGTCATGAGGCAGAAGCTGTGGCAGTGACAAGGTGTCTCGTCACCTGTCTGGTGCTCAACGCATTGCCCTCCCTTTGGAGAACCGTAACAAGAGCAGCAAATATTGATCAGGTGCTCACCATGTGTGCAATGGGCTGAACATTTGTGCCCCTGTCCCAGTTCATATTTTGAAATCCCAATGCTCCCAAATGATATTAGGATGTGGGGCTTGCAGGAGATAATTTAGTTTTGAGGGTGGAGCCCTCATGAATGGGATTAGTGTCCTTATCAAAGGGACTCCAGAGAGTTCTCCCCACTCTGTTTTCCATGTAGGGATAAAATGACAAGTTGGCTGTTTGTAACCCAGAAGACAGCCCTCACCCAAACCAGACTATGCTGGCACTCTGATCTTAGACATCCAGCCTCCAGCACTCTGAGACATGTTTGTTGTTTTGCTTTGGTATCTGTTATAGCAGCAGAAGGGGAATAGAAACAGTGCCAAGGCCAAGCGCTGTTCTCAGTGGTCTACAGACTGGAACACGACAACCCTGTGAAGTAGATGCTAGTGCGACGTCCATATTACAGGTGAGGACCCTGAAGTAATGGCGATTAAGGACTTGTCCCTAGAACACTCGGCATGAGAAAGAAAAAGGACTTCTTTTCTCTTGACAGTGCTTCCCTAATAGCTTGCCCCTTAGACACAGTTTAGAGAACACAAGGGTAACTCAAGGGTTTTTGGTTAGCAAACTGCAAAGGATCATGCAAAAAGACTGAGTAAATATGGATATAAAGGACTGCCCAGGTAGGTGCCCTTTAATCATTTGATTAAAGTTTGATTGCTGGTGAGGGCAGAAGGGTAATTATTGGTCAAAGTGAACCTGATCAGGGCTTATTAGTAGGAGTGTTACTGGCTCTCTGGGCTGCAAATCCTTCGCTACGTGTGTGGGGCTATCCTAGAGATGGCAAGACTGTCAGCACCAGGTCCCAAACGAAGTGCCAGTAGCACTACCTTGTCAGTGTGGCAACCAGCATGTCAATCCCACCCATTCCCAGAAGACCTCTGAGGTAAGGGAACAAAGTCTATGGGGGATAGAATGAAAACTAGGTTTCCTTGACACCATATTCTAACACACAGGTAAACCAATCCAGCCACTGGTGTAAGGGTCTTTGGGCAGAGCCCACAAATGATGATGGAACACTGTATCTTTACACAGTGCCTGGCAGGAG